CTCAGGTAGTGTAGATTCAAGTTTGTTCAAATCATGACCCCAGGGGCTAGGATGGGGCCAAAATGTCTGACCAAATTTTTACATAGGAATATATAGGAAAAACTTTTAAAAATCTTCTTCTCAAGAACCACTGGTCCAGGAAAGATGAAACTCATGTGAAATCTTCCTCAGGTAGTGTAGATTCAAGTTTGTTCAAATCATGACCCCCGGGGCTAGGGCGGGGCCAAAATGGCCAACCAAAGTTTTACATAGGAATATATAGGAAACATTTTTAAAAATCTTCTTCTCAAGAACCACTGGGCCATAAAAAATGAAACTCATGTGGAATCATCCTTAGGTAGTGTAGATTCAAGTTTGTTCAAATCATGACCCCGGGGGTAGGGCGGGGCCAAAATGGCCGACCAAAGTTTTACATAGGAATATATTAGAACAATTTTTAGCTCACCTGAGCCGTAGGCTCAAGTGAGCTTTTCTGATCACATTTTGTCCAGCGTCCGTCTATCCGTCTGTCCGTCCGTCCGTCTGTCTATCTGTAAACATTTCACATTTTCGACTTCTTCTCAAAAACCACTGGGCCAATTTCAACCAAACTTGCCACAAAGCATCCTTGGTTAAAGGGGATTCAAATTAAGGGCCACTCCCTTATTCAATGGGCGATAAGTCAATTACGCAGTATAGAGGATCGAAGGTGTCATAATATCCTAAAATGGTATTAGATGAGGGCTATTGAATTCAATCTTCTGTTGAATAAACTACATGTTCATGAAACAAAATGCATATATTGAATTTTATTAGAAGAAATATAATTAATCATATTACTTTTAAAGATGAATTTACGTGACACACTTTCAGGAATATTTTATAGAGCATAGTAACTTTGCCGTTTCTTAATTAATGAAATTTTTGGTTTTTATGTAGGCTTTTAGTACACTTCGAATTTTATACGGTTTTGTTTAGCTCACCTGAGCCGAAGGCTTAAGTGAACTTTTCTGATCAGATTTTGTCTGTCGTCTGTCCGTCCATCCGTCTGTAAACTTTTCACATTTTCGACTTCTTCTCAAGAACCACCGTTCACGGTAGCTCAGTCGGTAGAGCGCTCGCTCCGTGATCGGGAGGTCGTGAGTTTGCATCTCGGCCGCGACTGACCTAGTCATTAAAATTAGTAGCAACTGTTCCTTCGCCATGCGCTCGGCACTTTGAAGTGAAAGTTGCGGGTCCTTCGGATGAAACCTTAAAAACCGAGGCCCCGTGTCAGTGGCAGGCGTTGGCACGATAAAGATCCCTCACTGCTCAATGGCCCTGAGTGCCGAGTAAAGGTCAAAATTTGAAGCCCTTCACCGGCATACGGTGACGTCTCCATATGAGTGAAAAATTCTCGAGAGGGACGTTAAACAATATACAATCAATCAATCAATCTTCTCAAGAATCAATAGGTTAATTTAAACCAAACTTGGTAGAAAGCATCCTTGGGTAAAGGAGAGATTTAATTTTTAAAATGAAGGGTCAAGATCCCTCACAAGGGGAGATAATTAAGAAAAGACAAAAATAGACTGGGGTCATTAAAAAATCTTCTCAAGAACTACTTGGGCAGGAAAGTTGAAACTTACGTGGAAGCATCCTTTGGTACTGTAGATTTTAAATTGTTAAAATCATGACCCCAATGGGTAGGGCGGGGCCACAATAGCTAATGCAAGTTTTACATAGAAATATATTAAAAAATATTCTTCTCAAGACCACTGGGCCAGGAAAGCTGATACTAATGTGGAAGCATCCTTGGGTAGTGTAGATTTTAAATTGTTCAAATCATGACCCCCTAGGGTAGGGTGGGGCCACAATAGGGAATCCAAGTTTTTGATTAAGTCCTTTCAAATGACACCAAGGTCAATGACTTTGTGACTTTTACTATGAGTCAGACCTATATGCTAAAACTAGTTTTTTATTGAAAATTTGCCATAATTTAAGAACCATGAGAAATAGAGACTATATATTTAGTATGCATACTCAACTAATTTAGGTCTTTAAAATGACACCAAGGTCTTTGACCTTGTAACCTTCGCTGTGACCCATGTGCTTTAAATAGATTTTTTGAACCTTAGACATAACTTTTGAACCATGAAAAATGGTAACCACTTATTTGGTATGCATTCTCCACTAATTATACTCTTTCAAATGACCTTTACCGTGATCTATATGCTAAAAATAGCCTTTTTGAACCTCCATCATAAATTTTGAATCATAAGAGATAGACACTTCATATTTAGTATGCATATTCCACTTATTAAGTTCTTTCAAATGACACCAAGATCAATGACCTTGTGACTTTGACTGCAACAAATATGCTAAAATTTATTTTTCAAACTTTGTCACTGTTGGGGGCATAGTGTTTCATCATCTTTTTTCAAAAGAATAGCATACGAGGGTTGTCCCAAAAAGTCGAAGACAATGTTTATAACTTTTAAAACATGCAACCAATACTTAAACCAAATTTTGCACAGACAAAATATATTCAATGTTCTTTAAAATTGTGGATTTTGAAATATATATCTTTCCTATTGATGATATTAGGGTGATTTATATGAGGGCCGATAAGGACTGTCGGCGCACGAACAAAATACAGAATATTTTACACATATAACTATTACATTTGCTTTTATTTCTTTAGTACTATGTAAAACATTGAACTCAAATTTACATCAGTGAAATCAGAATCAAAATCTTAATAATATGTCAAGATTTCATATAAATAGCATTGAAAACAGACGATTGGTTTCATGATTTTCAAAGTGTTGTTGAATTCTGTTTGATGAAAATGACGTCATCAAACACGTAACCGGCATATGGATATATAATAAATTTTTTTGAATATGATTTGTATACATTAGAGACGGGGAAAAGAGTAAAGAAGTGACATTAAACACTAGATTTTAATAGGGAATTTATTTTTAAGTGACATGAGATTCAAAGAGAGTTATACCTCTATACCGAAATAAGTTACAACATGTAAGAAGTAGAGTACTGTTTGTTAAGGTACGCACAAAATGGGGAACAATCTGGGCCATAAACGACGTGAAACAATGTGAATTCTCTGCTACCTACAATGTATGGCGATCTTTTGACTAAATTTCGACTAAAATTAGAATCTGCTTTGATTGATTGATTGATTGTTGATTGTATATTGTTTAACGTCCCTCTCGAGAATTTTTCACTCATATGGAGACGTCACCTTATGCCGGTGAAGGGCTTCAAATTTTGACCTTTACTCTGCACTCTGGGCCATTGAGCAGTGAGGGATCTTTATCGTGCCAACGCCTGCCGCTGACACGGGGCCTCGGTTTTTAAGGTCTCATCCGAAGGACCCGCAACTTTCACTTCAAAGTGCCAAGCGCATGGCGAAGGAACAGTTGCTACCCATTTTATCGACTGGGTCAGTCGCGGCCGAGATACGAACTCACGACCTCCCGATCACGGAGTGAGTGCTCTACCGACTGAGCTACTGTGAACGGTAAATCTGCTTTGAAAAAAAAAACAACAACAACACACCTGACAGTAGTGAATTTAAATACAGTAAGTCCCTTAGTAAAGAGTGGTCCTTCGCTTTAAAAAATAATTGAATGTTAACAGACGCGTGTGAAGCAGAAAAAGAGATTATGACGTTATATGAGACGTAAATTATGCTTGCTTTCGTGCGCCGATGTACACTTACGTGCTTTCTTTATTTTTTCATAATTTCCTTATTAAATGTGATATTATGAAATTTGAAATGCATGATCATATAATGTTACTTTTTGTTTTCATGGTTATGAAAAGAAAAGAAATTTAATTCAACAAAGAGAAAATAAACTGTTTTCCCTGTCTATACGACTTTTTGGGACAACCCTTGTAAGCTTAAATAGCTATTTCTTACTGACTCTGTAGCTTATTATGCTATTGATTTTTATGTGCCTCAGCACAGTTTGTTAATTGTTAGATTGATAGATCATCATTTCTATTCAGTACTAATTTATATAGGTAGTACTGCATTGTTGCCCCAATATTGCTGCAGCAAAAGCTGAAATAATATATGCACTGCAATTGCTTTGCAGCAACATTGCCGCAACACCTTTCTGGCAATATTGCCGCAAATCTAATTTACATACGTAAAACGATATTGCCACAATTTTGCTGCAATATGCTGCCAAAATGTTGCTACAATATTGCTGCAATAATGCCGCAACACTTTTATAGCAATACTGCCGCAGATCTAATTTACATTTGAAAAACAATATTACCGTAACATTGCTGCAATGTATTGCCAGAATGTTGCTGCAATATTGTGGCAATAATGCCAGAAGATGTTGCCAGAAGGTGAGTATTTTGGTAAGAGTACTTTCTGATTCGTTTGAAACGTCTACGATGGATCTAGGCCTGTGACGTAATGTCACGTGCAGTTTGATGTCGAGGGAGTGACTTTGCAAATGGTCATGACAAAGACATTTACAGACACTTTCTTTCGTTTGCGACTCGACTGCCACGCCTCTCTGTACAATAAATTCTTTACAAACGCAAAGAAGCACTGTAAATATAAAAGAAACAAACATACCCGGGCACACAGGCCAAACCCGGATGTGTTTGCCTGGAGCGAACTGGAAAATTCTGAAATTTTATCATGAAACGGAACGCTGGAAAAAGAATATAGAATTTACTAAGACGGTTATCCTTGTTATATACCTTTAAACAAAATTTATGTACACATGGAAGAAATGAATGACAAATTTACGAAAAAAAATACCCCAGTACAATTCTATTTTGGTCAGTGGGCTCCTTGATTTTAAATCATAATCTTAAATTATAGTCCAATATGCAGTTGCTTTAGGAAATGCCTGAATTCAAATTTCTTCTGTTCTTTCAATTAACGATTTTTGTTTCCAGTTTCAAATCTTAGTATCATAAGCTTATTCTATAAACTGCTATTACAAATGTTATCTGATGAAGCATTAAAAACAATTCTTGTGTATTTGTAGATGTCCCCAACAGTGCTCCACAACTGACCCCTATAGGATTTACCTCAGTAGATGAAGGACAAAACATCACACTACGCTGTACCCTGCCTACACTGGGCAACCCTCATGTCGCATGGAGCTGGTATTGTAATGAAGACACAATTCCGGAAGGAGTGAGCAATACAGGAACCCAGTCAGTTCTGACATTTACAGCAGGCCGAAAGTACAACCAGAGGACATGTCATTGTAGAGCTACAACTACAAGAGCAACATTGCCATATGACGAGATATCTATCAAACAGAGCATCACTGTATTTTGTAAGTATATTGAAATAATGATGATTTAATATGTGATTCTAATAATGAGTTTTACATACATGTATATCGAAGATTTTTTAAGAAGTATATTTTAGCAATCTAATTAAAATTAGACCTTTCATCTTGCTCTGTCACATTTGAACGGAGCGACTTTTAAAATTACGAAGAGAGAATGAAGGACCTTTAGCTGAAAAAAAAAATACCTGTCGTTCAGTTTATTTTTCATATTTTGTATATCTCTAATTTTGGATGTCCCACATACCATAAAGCAGATATATCAGTAGATTTCTAGACTTATTTTTGAGATACTGAGTGACAAGTACTATACCCCACAGTGTCTATGTGGAGTTTTGATTCTCCGTGTTTCCGGGCCCATTACTCAGCCCACAATGGATTTTCAGCATAGATAAGTATGCCAGCAAACATGTGTTTTTTAAAATATTTCAGAGTATGAATAGGGTAAAAAAAATCGAAAAGCAAGATTCTGTTGTCACACCGCATCTGGAGACCGAAAATTGCTTATTTTTAAAGACAAATTAAATAACAAGAAATTAAATTTAAAAAAAATCCTATCATTTAATATTTGAAAATTTACGTTTAATTGCAAGATTAGTGATGTAACGATTGTCGCCGACAATCGATTGTAGGTCGTTAGAAGCTCTTCGATGCTACTAATCGATTATAAAATAAATGTCGCCGACATCGCTAACAAAAAATAAAATTGTCATACTTTAATTTTATTACCAAATCAAGGTGCAAAGAGCATAAAATTAGTGATGAATGTTGAAAACATGGAAACACTCCGTGTGTTGTTGATACTTTTACCGCCATGATTAAATATGGGGTCAGACTAAAACCAGGAAACGTTGATATTGCAAGGTCTTACTATACTAAGGAAAACATTATTGGTCTAGTCAACTTTTAAACGTAATTATAATCAGAAATTCAAGTCTTACTTCTGGATAACTACTTTTAAAACTTGTAATTTTAACTAATTAAAACTAATTTTAAGAAATAAATACATGTATTAAATGAAAGGTGGGACTAATATCAGTAAAATACCCATTGCATGGACTTTAAAAAAAAAAAATTCCCATTCTGTTTTTAATAGTCCTATATTGTTCAAAGTAAACAAAATATTATTTTCCAGTTTTTAAAAAAGAAATTTCAATTAACATTTTTGAATATTTTATGTTTACTAAGTAAAGGATTTTTTTGTAAAATTCTGACAGAAATCTGAGTTTTAACTTTTCTATAATAATTTCATTAAAGTTCAAACTTTCGATTATAATCGATTATTAATCGATTATGCCCATCCGATTATTACCGATAATCGATTCTGATTTTTTTCCGATTCCCCATCACTATGCAAGATCGACATGTTATTAATTAACTTTAAAAATATCGATTGGTTAAGCTGAGCTCATTATACCATCATCTTCTAATATAAAAGATGTACCTTTTTAGCCATGAGTCTATTCTGCTCTGTTTTTTGACAAACGGATAACATAACAAATAGTTTGTCGAAAAAGAGCATTTATGATTGAAAATGCCAAAATATATTTCACATTTTAAATTACATATGATACACGTAAAAAATCTTAGGCACAAAATAGACAGTAAATCTCATGTAAAAAAATATTTCATTACATGTATACAAAGGTAAATGTGCCTAAGATATACACAGTACAAATACTGACATATCATCAGTACTGTATTTGCACCTGAGGAACTTTCATAACATAATTAATCTGAATCAGAGTTAGTACCTGAAGAGGAATTTGATCTGTCAGGTGACGCTATTCTTCTCCTCTTTTTCTTTTGCTCCCTTTGCCTTATCCTGCACCTAGAACCAGTTTCCACCACTTGTTGGGTTTCCTGATTGTTCTTGATTGCTTCAAGGACTTTGTCGGTCACCGCCGCTACCAGTTGGTCCTGAGCAGACGTTTCGGTCGGTTCTGCAGCCTGTTCTGCTGACCCTGCTGCAGCTGGCTTCTTCTGTGTCCGCCTCCCTCTTGGTTGGCGTCTGAGTTCGCTCATCTGTAATTGGTTATCAAAATGATATAAATGAAATATACTTTATTCTTAACCACAGCTCTGGTTGATAAATTAGGCTTCATTATTTAGTAAATACATCTGTACTGTATTTATCAAACACATTTATTGTGCCACAATAGCTTCACTGACTATGTAAAACATAAGGTTAATGTGGAAACATCATTATATCCCCCGCAAACGAAGTTTGGGGGTATATAGGAATCATCTTGTCCGACTGTCCGTCTGTCTGTCCGTCCATCCGTCTGTCTATCTGTCTGTCTAGCTGTTCGTCTGTCTGTGCAATCGTGTCCGGTCCATATCTTTCTTACAGAGGGACATTAGAATCTACTACTCCATACTAAGATTGCACATGACCAAAGGGTGTGTCATGATCTTGACCTAAGGTCATTGGGGAAGTTCAAGGTCACTGGAAGAAAAATTTCATAATTCGTGTCCGGTCCATATTTTTCTTATGGATAAATTTGGTAGATTCTAATTTCACACAAATATTGCCCATGATCCCAGGGTGTGTCATGACCTTGATCCAAGATCATTTGGGGAAGTTCAAGGTCACTGGAAGAAAAATTTCATAATTCATGTTTGATACATATCTTTTATGGATAAACTTGGTAGGTTCTCATTTCAAACAAAGATTGCCCATGACCCAAGGATATGTCATGACCTTGACCCAAGGTTATTTTGGGAAGTTCAAGGTCACTTGAAGAAAAATTTCATAATTCGTGTCCGTTCCATATCTTTCTTATGGATAAACTTGGTAGATTTTCATTTCACTCAAAGATTGCCCATGACCCAAGGGTGTTTCATGACTTTGACCCAAGGTTATTGCCCTTTAACTTTTTTGTGCTTTATATTTAATCTTATAACTTTAGAACTAAAAGTCGTAGTGGCATGGAGTCAATTGCAATGTGACCCTTAACCTTTGACCTTGAAAAATCTTTCAAGGTCAAAGATCAAGGTCATTTCAATTTTTTAATTTTTTTTTAAAAATTCATTTTTTTCTATCTTTAAAGCCACTTTTTTTTGGTATAACAGGAGTTAGATATAAAACAAAAGAGAAATTCAGAGAAGGTGGAAAGACTGCTTATTATTCTGTGAACAATAAGTCTCCTAGTTTTTATTATTTTTCCGCTACGGACTTTTGAACCAAAAGACTTTTTAAAAACGAAAAAGAAAAACTTTTTAATTCATGATACTGGACATTAAAAGTTATATCGAAAAAACAACCCAACGTATACGACCTATGACCCCTTTCGGAGTTCTTGCCCTTTGTACAAAAAACTTTGTTATCACTACTCCTCCAAAAACATAAGCCATAGAGGTATGAAACCTTTACTAATGTCTTCTACTACTTGAGTGGACTCTGAAATCTATTCATTGCGAAAGTCTTTGGTGACCCCTTCAATGAGTCATTGCCCTTGAAACTTTTTGAATTTTACAAATAATTTAAAATTTTCAGAAGTTGTAGAGACTTGGGACCAACTGCATAAGATCCATTGACCTTCGACCAAGAAATTTATGCAAAGGTCAAAGGTCATTCCAAAATTGAGAAATTTAGCTCCTTTTATATCTCTTTTGTCTTTTAACATATATTTAATATCTTAGCATCATTAATATGTACTCTTAAAACTATTACAAATATTTCATTCTTGTCCCTTAAGATTAGTCCTTTTCAAAGTTATTGCCCCTTGTGCAAAAAACCTTGAATCACAACTCCTCAGAAACTGTAAACTGTAGAGACACCAAACCTTCACTAAGGCATAACTTCACTGTATAAGTACGAAAGGATCTGATGACCCCATATATGAGTTATTGCCCTTTAACGTCTTTGTAGTTACTATTAAACCTTATAACTTAAAAACTATAAGTTGTAGAAGCATAGGCTCAATTGCATTGTGACTCTTGGCCTTTGACCTTGAATACTTTTTCAAGGTCAAAGTCAAGGTCATTTGAATTTTTTTTGAATTTTCATTTTTTCATCTTTGAAGACAATTTTGGTTTCTTATTCATGGAATTTAATTTTTAGGAGTTAGATATAAATAAAATTAAAATTTAAGGAAGGTGGAAAGACCTCTATTTGTTCTGTGAATAATAAGTCTCCTTGTTGTTTTTAATGAAGCTTCCAGTATATGGAAGGGACAAGATAGGGTAACGGCCAAATACATGTATGTCCTTTATTTGATGTAAAAATCAGAACACTCATTTCTGGTGGAATTTCGTCATATTTGAGGTACTTATCTCTTCGGAAAACATAGAACACAACCTTGTTTATTGAGATTTTTACAGGTAAACTACATCTGATACTAGTGTATAAAATATGTAAATGTGATAGATATTCATGCTTTTGCTTTGTGTTTGTGCTGTAAAATTGATGAAAATGTGCATAAAAATGAGTAAATTCTAAAATTGGCCTATTTATGACTTCTCTGTGACATCTATGTATTTCAAAACTTAAAATTAATACTCATTTAGTGGCAGGGGTGACAAGAAGTTTTTATGGATAAACTGTTGCATCATTCTGAAAGATATCCAAAATCAGGGGCCAAAAAGTGTCTTAACCTCTCTTGTCCTTTTTAGCTCACCTGAGCCAAAGGCTCAAGTGAGCTTTTCTGATCAAAGTTTGTCCGTTGTCTGTCGTTGTCATTGTAGTCATCGTTGTTGTCGTTGTTGTCGTCGTTGTAAACTTTTCATATTTTCATCTTCTTCTCAAGAACCACTGGGCCAATTTCAACCAAACTTGCTACAAAGTATCCTTGGATAAAGGGGATTCAAGTTTGTTCAAATGAAGGGCCACGCCCTTTCCCAAGGGAAGATAATTATGAATAAGAGAAAAATTAAAGGCATATTAAAAAATCTTCTTCTCAAGAACCACTGGGCCAGGAAAGATGAAACTCATGTGGAATCATCCTCAGGTAGTGTAGATTCATGTTTATTCAAATCATGACCCCTGGGGGTAGGATGGGGCCAAAATCAC